TTTTTTTTTTTTTAAGCACAGCTTGAGAGGGGAAACAATGCCGCTCTTTGGATTTCATCAGTGTTTGAAGAGCGCAGCAAAGCCGATACTGTGCTATATATTTTGTTTCTCTAAGGCAGCGTCCACACTACGCCGGAGAAATTTGAAAACGCAGCTTTATTTCTACGTTTAGGCCTACCGTCCACACTAATCCGTCACGAAAGCGCGGAGCTTTTCCAAAACACTCTTCAAAGTGGAGGAATTTAAGAAAGTCGGCTTTTCGTTTTCGTGTGGACGGGAAACATTTTCAAAACGGAGCTTTTCGACTGAACGATGGCCTAACCAAGTTTTCCTCAAACACAAATCCAAAATGATCGGTGATTGTTGAGTCTTAAAATTCCTCCGGCGTAGTGTGGACGAAAAAAAATTGATGTTTCCAGAGTGAAACCTCCGTTTTCAAATTCCTTTGGAGCAGTGTGGACGGGGTTTAAGTTAAACCAACAATAACGTGACACGCTCTTCGATAGTTATCAAATTGATAACTTTATAAACTTTCGCCTGAGATATTCACCGAGATAAGTAAGGTGCAATGGCAAAGGCTTTTTGTTCCTTTTTCGTTTTTGTTTCTGGTGGAAAAATTCATCGTCTAGATTTAGTCTACCACTAGACTTTTTTAGAATTCGGCCGAATTAGCGTCCTCATTCACTCGCTAAATCTGTACTACTATGAAAAACATTGAAGTCATGACGAAAAAAAATTGTAAAGGTCAATACGAAAAGGTATTTGAGTAAATTCAATGTTACAAAGCACGGTTTGTCAATCCGCTCACGTTACAGTTTAACGAACAATTGAAAACACTCTTTTTTGCGTGCCATAAATCAGTTGCCAGTTGACTACTTGGTTAAATGTTATGTTGACAACGATTATTTGCACCTCGCGTCGGATATGAATTATTATTCTCTTCTACAGCCAGAGAGTAAACATTAAAATAATTCAAATCAAATTAGCAATGATTAATATCGCTGGCTAAACATTTTCGTGTAGGAGATTCAATATTTGTTACAGGATCAGAACGACTGAAGTTTCCTTGGAAATAATATCAGATGGGCTATCACTAACCGCCTGAAAAAATTTATCGCAATGATGACAAAGCAACAAATATAACCGACTTGTCATGTAGAATTTGATTTAGCCATTGTCGTAGTTGGTAGAACATAAACAAAGAAGGTTTTGGAAGTCGCTATAAATGTATTCTGGGGACATAACTAACGCTAGTTAGCGGGAAAGCTCTTTTGGCAGCTCATGGTGTACCTTGCAGTCTAAACCAACTCCTGAAATAGTATTTGAGGAAAGATTTAATAAGCTTAGCTATTAATACCGAAAGAATTTTCACAATTGTGATTTTTTTCTACCTTAACGCAAAATCCGACTTACAAAAAGATTTCTTAACGAATTCCTTCGATCCAATATTAACAACTGAGTGTTTTTTGCACATGCCGAAAAAGCACAAGAAGCGAGATGAACAAGCCAAGTTTTCGCTTCCCTATATAAGAAGACTTACCTTAGACGAATTCGAAGAAACTGGGTTATTTCCTTCAATCTTATTGAATAACGTAGCAACCAACAACCACAGCAACAAAGATACAGCGCTGGATTGTCTAAACATGATTATTTCCTTCTGTTCACGTTATTTGATGTCCTTAGCTTAACGACTGCGGAACCCGGAGGCAAAAAAATTCGAGTACGAGGCAAAGCGGCTTGTTTGTTCCTCTAATGGCAACTGGAAGATTTTTCATGTTCGAATAAGCTGTCATAGGTCTAAGAATAATTGTCTAACCAAATAAAGAAATCGAGAGAAAGTCATTCGAATTCTGACAGAATTGTCTGAAACAAGTGTCACAAGTGCAATAGAACAGAGGTTGAACAGAGTTTGCATGCGAAGTAGTCGATTACTTTCACTAAGTTTTTTTTTTTACCCATTTAGTGTTTTCTTGGTTTATCGCTATATAATTAACAATATATTGATAATTAACAATATATTGATCATAAGAACATCAGTCGAATTTCTACACAGACGAGAAAATTTCCTTTTAGTTTCATCTTTATTTCACCCATTTTGCCTGCGAACGTTGTCCGAAAGGGAATAACGTGATGTAAATTATGTTGGTGATGCTACAGCAAACAGAATTTCGATACGGAATTAATCGTCGGACGCGTTTATATATTAAAGCAAACTTCCCTCTATAAAGCGCCTTGGACGTATTAACGGACTTACTCGGCAACGTTTTCGCCATGATTCGGGCCGGATTGACCGGTAAGGGT